GAGTACAATATTGTATAACTGTAATAATTCAACTGTAAACCTAAAAATTTATAGCCAATTCTGAAAAAGATGCATCTTAGCTCAGAAAATTGTTATTGAATATGTCAATGCTGTTGTAATGAAATGCTTCTTCTAAGTATGTGGTTATTAAATAAATAATTAACTGGAAAAAAAAAAAACATGAAATGAAAACTTCAAAGACACACTGGCCTTGAAATTTCACCCTATTCTTGACTTAATTTGGGAAAGTGATGTGCAGTTTGTTTCGTTCCTCTCCATTGCTGTTCCTAATTCCTCCAATATATTGGGGAAAACAAGAGAAACAAACCCCAAATGACCAACAACATAAAAGAAAAGGAAGACTTACTCTGGCATGGGTGCATTTATTTCACTTCCTTCCCTCATAAGGCAGTTTTTTCAAGTTCCTCAGAAACTTCTCTGCATTAGAGAGAGCCAGCTCCCTGAAGTGGTCACCCAGCTCTTCAGCTCCTGACCCTAACAGCTCCCCAGTTGCTCCCTGGCCTCTTACCTCACAGCATCTTTCCAGACCTGAAGCCACACTTCCAGCAAGGGGATGTCAAGTATATTTAAGTTCTGCTGGTTTTCACTGGGTTGATGTGATTCAAAGGAATTATGTCCCTTTAATAACTGTAGGCATACTAATGAAGCTATTTTAACTCATAATCACATTAAGATTGTAATTAGAGTTTTATGTCTTCCTTACATATGAATTTTCTATGACATTGCCTTCCACACACAAAAATGCATTCAACAGACATTTAAAGCTTCCAGTTAATAACATAATTTGGTCAAATATGTTCCTAATTAGATCTATATTACTTTTCAGTTTCAGATATTATGGACTGAAAGAGATAAACTACCACTTACTTTAAAATAACATAAATATACATAATTATATATGTATGTTTGCTGCTTTTGAAAGTGCTTATGACCATCTCTTCAGGAAATGATTCTACAAATACTGTAAATACTAAATTAATCTTTATATAATTTCTTTAGATTTTACCTTCTAGTCCATCATATTAGAAACCTAGAAAAAAAATACCAGTGCCCGAGTTTGAATCAAAGATTGTAATTTAATTGTTCCTGAATAGAGCTCCTTATAAGCACTTAAGAAATTCACTCAACAAATTATTTGCATAAGCCACTTTAGTCTTGTACTTAATCCACTTTCATGACAAATATAAAACTAAATAAAGAGGGGCTAGGGAGATGGTTCATTGGTTAAAAGCATTGGCTT